CCAGGGGCATGCAGGTTTAGGCAAGTAACTGCAGTGGTGTCCCAAGCCCTTTTTGCTGTCTGAGGTAGGGGGGTGGGGTAGGTGTTGATGCACGCAATCAGAGCCGCAGGACGTGGGTGGAGGAGGCAGTGCCACCAGACATGAGAGTGAGGCCACTCTGCAGGCTCTGCATCTCCCCCTGGCTCTAAGTAACCTGGGACGCTCTGGCTGGCATCTCGCCCAGAGCTTCCTAAGTTGTGAGCGTGGAGATGTGCATGGCCCTTACCTATCTCCCCACCTGGCTATTAGCAACCTGGGACGCTCTGGCTGGCATCTCCGCCAAGTCCTGGAAACTAGTGACAGCAATGTTTTCTTAGAGCCTGGGCAGAGCGCCCCGGCCAGAGCTTCCCATATTGCTAAGAGCTGATCGGGCAAATGTGCATGGCCCTTACCAATCTCCCCACCCGGCTATTAGCAACCTGGGACACTCTGGCTGGCATCTCACCCAGCTCCTGGCAACCAGTGATATCAATGTCAGAAGCTGGGCAGTGCGCCGGCAAGAGCTTCCCAGGTTGCTAAGAGCTGGGCAGGCAAATGTGCTTGGCCCTTACATATCTCCCCACACGGGTATAAGCAACTTGGGGCGCTCTGGCTGGAAAGACAAGCACACTGCAAACATCGTTCAGCAGAACGGCCAGTATACAACAAACCTACCGCTCCCCCACATGACCCAAAGAGATGCCACCTGAGGCAACATCCTCAGGCTGCCTCATTATAGGAACGGTCTTGAGTAGCTGTATAAATAGGCATACAGCCACCTACACCCATTGATGCCTATGATGCTGTGCATCCCTGGCGTAGAAATATTGCATGCATCAGGCCTTATGGGTAATTTTCTTTTACTTTCACAGTAGTGTAGCCTCCCTTTATTTATACCCAGTGCTGCAAGTCCTCTCTCTCCTGGCTGCGCAGACGTAGCACAGCCCCATAGACTCTTATGGGAGATGTAATGTGCCTGTGCTGCCTGGAAAGGGAGGACTTGAAGAGCTGGAAGTCAACAAAAACAGGAGGCCACAGCAGTCTGATCTTGGTTAGAACACATCTGTGCAGGGGGGAGGGTGGGATCGGTTGGCTCAAGGCAAAGGAGTAAAAAGTATAAGTACTTTGTTTTAAAGCTGAAGTCAGCAAATTTTATTTAAATACAAGAATCATGTGTATTTTTAGTTGAATCTTGGTGAGCTCTGCGTATTTTTTCCAGATCTGTGCAGTTATCCAGTGTGACACTTGGAGCTTCCTGTAATAAAGACCAGTCACTGTGGCTCTCTGTATGTGCAGGGTGACTGGTCTGGTCTCCGCCCCCTTCCTGTTATAAAAACCGATCACTGCTGCTCTCTCTCCTTGTGCAAGGGGACTGGTCTTGTCTCCGCCCCCTCCTGTAATAAAGACTGGTCATTGCTGTTCTCTCTCCTTGTGCAGGGTGACTGGTCTCGTCTCCACCTCGCTCCTGTAATAAAGACCGGGACATGGGCACTGCTGCTCTTTCTCCTTGTACAAGGTGAATGGTCTTGTCTCCGCCCCCTCCTATAATAAAGACCGCTCACTGCTGCTCTCTCTCCTTGTGCAGGGTGAATGGTCTTGTATCCGCCCCATCCTGTAATTTCCTGCAAGCACCCTGTAATAGTAGGAGCTGACAGGCCCCTCCCACAGCTCTGCTCTCCGAACAGGAGGGATCAGTTAGAATCCGCTTCTTAAGTCCAATTTAACTATTCAAATTCTGCTTCCCGAACCGATGTCAAAAGCAAACCACAAGTTCCCATGTACACACTAGCCCTAAGCTTGCCTTGTGAAGGATGCTGGGTAAAAAACGAGTCCAGACAACGCTAATGGCATCTTCATTTGCTCGTAACGTTGTTGCATTTAAAATACAATTTATTGATGCCTCACTTATAATTGGTTATTGATTTTTGCAGTTTTTTGTGGCTCCATAACATTTATAATAGGATTGAATGATACGTTGCATGCAAAATGAAACTGTTTTTGATGCTTGATGATGTACGCTGATTTCCCAGGATTTCATGAACCCCCCCCCGGCATCTTTTTTTTTAACATGTCTGTGTCTTCACATCATTAGGAGAATGGGAATGTTTTCCCCAGTTGTCTTCTAGTTGGAAAGCGGTGACCCATAAAACACTATATTGGAAATCGCAATTATTAGATATTGTGAAGCGTCCAACCTCTAGCAGGCAGGTATCAACCATCTGCAATGAGGTTTGAGATGATGGCCAGTTTGTGGTTTGTTTCTTTTTTTACATTTTTGGGGCTTTTAGAGCTTTTAAGGGCTGCTTCACACTAGACGCATGAACAGCGGTGGTTAGCCACGGTGCCCTGTATTTTTGCTCTGTTTACTTTTTTAACTTTATTTAGAGTGTACAAACAGTTCACTCCATTGAGGTCCCCACATAGCCCCAGTGGCCTAATGCCTTGCAAAAACTTCAGCATGGCTGCATTTCTTTGCACCGCAGATCACACCTGTATAGGAAAATTTAGCATTGAAGCAGAACTCCAAGCTCAAAAAGTTCTATTGAAAGGGTAATTCCGCTTTCCTAGGCCAATTTTGGGAAAATTGAATCACAGCCGCCAATATGCCCCCTCTCCCCCCTACCGCTGTTCTTGCCTTCAACCGAGCACTCCTTCCCCTCCACCCACTTTCGGTGAACTATCCATGCTCTGTACACAGAGGTGCAGCCCTGCAGTATTTCAAGTTCTGTTTGCAAATGGCGAGCACTCATTGGTCCCTCAGCAGGGTCACCGGTATTTCATTGTTCTATCAGTGTCTCCTCATGAAATGCTGGGAAAAGTGTTCCAGGTAAATGAAATTGCTGGTGTGTTTATAAATCCTCCATCACTGTTATGGCCCATGTCATTCTAACCTCATGCACAAAGCAAGCGCAGTTATCATCAGAATATATTTTTAAATGATGTGTAAAATTAAATATAAGAGGGTCAAAGGGCAGCTAACGCCAGTGTGAAGGAGGCCATTATGTAGGCCACAGCCACCCCACAAAATAACTGCTTATGTGCTATAAACACTGGTGGTCTTCCATTAAGCTAGATAGAATGTCTCAGGTTTTGGGGATGCAGGTCTACAAAGAGCCTCATGCATGGAAACATTGGCCTTGTTTCCTCCAGTAACCCAACAAGGTTCTTTCTTTACTGTTGCTGAAGCAGGAAGAAGAACTGGTCTCCTTTTTCATACCTCGTCCTATTTATTTTTATTTTGGGACATAAAGAGATCTTCTTGTTGCAAAAGCAGGGATGTTTTTGAAACCGCATACATTTCCTCAAGGTTGACCAAGATTTTGGCTACCCTACCATTGCTTCAAAAGGACTGCAAGCAATCTAATGGTCTAACTCATTCTGCAACTTGCTTTTTCAATAATGAAGCGGTCGAAAGCTGGGTAGGGGTTCACCAAAACCAATGTGGTGCCAAAGAAATCCCCACAAAACTATTGAAAGGGATGGTGGCCAACTGCTGTAGACCATTCAGAGTTTTGCAATTTTTTTTTCTGTTACAGAAAGCTTCAAAAAGTGTTCTGATTGGGTTCTATTGGCAGCAGCTCAGCCTTGTTTGGATAAAGTGTTCTTATGTATGAACTTGTCTGAAAGATGGACAGGCCAGTTGTTCCTTCTAGAGGTGCACCGAAATGGAAATTTTAAAAACGAAACCGAAATAAAAAAAATTGTCAGGCCGAAAACCGATACCCACACACCGCTCTGCCGGACTGCGATAGGAGGCTGTGCGGTGTGGGAGGAGAGACGCCGGCCGCTACAGCGCTCTCCTCCCGCAGCGCTCGGCCGGCTGTCACTTTCTCTCCTCCCCGCTGGGGCACAGAGCAGCGCCCAGCGGGAAGGACAGAAAGAATGGATGCACCGATGTATCGGCAGGAAAATGGCACTTTCGGCATTATGCGCCATTTTGCGGCCGATATGTTTCGGCGGCCGATATATTGTTGCATCCATAATTCCTTCCAATCTTTCAGTGTTGGTTGCCACAATGATTTTGCACGCTTGGAAAAGATCCTTAGCATTTCTAAATTTTGAATGGGTTGGGGAAAGGGTTTGAGCCTTCCAAGACCTCTACAAGGAAATGCCACCCACACCCAGCATGGCAATAAGAGACTATGCTTGGCTCTCAGTTGTCACCAGTAGTAGTGGTGTCTTCAAGTGGAGGCTCTGTTGTGGGGTAAAGGCCCCGTTTTGTCTAAAACCGATGAAGCTTTTAGAGACATAGAAGAGTCTCCGCAGAAAAAGATGGTCCGTTGCGCCAGCCCCTTTTTTGATTTTTTGTTTTTAACTTTAGATCAATGCTTGTCCAAAGCATGTTTACATTCACTTACCATTGACGGACTCACTACCTCTGTTACAAGCATTAACTACACTTTGGGTAAAGTAATGCTTTCCAAGGTTGGTTTAGAACTTTCCTACTGGTAATTTGAGGTCATGTCCTTGTGTTCTTGAGCTTGGCTTCATTTTTAAAATACTGCCCTCCTGAACCCTATTAACCAGGGCAGTATTTTCAAGGACCTGCCGTTGCTGACCTCATTCTGAAGTTGCCTGGCCCCAATACCTTGACAGGAAACAAGTTTGCAGATTGGGAAGGTCAGAGAAGGGTTCCTATCTCTATGCTTGTTCCAGGTCCGTGACGCAATGTATCTCAATGTATCTGAGCCAGTGGGTCAGCATGAGGGCCAGACAAGTAGTGATTTCAGAAAGGGAAGTCAACAGCTGCACCCTCCATGCATTTCAAGTGACAGGTTCCTTTCAAATGGGTCCAGCAGTGTGACACCTACAGGATATAATGGGTATTAACGGAAGAAGATGAATTCTATATTTAGTTTTACACACAAAACTTTAAAAATGTGTATTTTGATGATGTTGACTCTGTAAGCCCACTGGGTGCATTTAAGAAGTCATTTCATGCATGACTCACGGCCTTCATTCATGTCTCCATCTGTGTGTAGAAACATAGCAAAGCAGCCATTCCTAGAGACATTGCAGGACAACTTTATTGAAATGGACATCCTCCCCACCTCCAGACATGACGGTGCTTACAATGATGGGTATGTGACACATCCTATTGATTGTCTGCCATTTTGCATGAACCCCATGACCTCGCCTCTCCTTCCTCTCTGCTCATTGCACTTACCAGGTTCTGACACTGCTGGGTGACACCACACACTGCTGGATCTGCTAAACCAACAACATGGGGCTGTATACATGACTCTACATGGGGAATGTTCACACACTCTGTTCATCAAAGTGCGTAAAATAAGGATTGTCTCAATCACCACATTGTAACCAATCAGACAATTTTGAATCTCAATTTGTCCTCTTCCGGTACAGGTTCAAATTTGATTGGTTACGGGAGTTTGGCGCAGATGATTCATGTTTCACACACCTTGAAAAATCAATCACTAGGTGCTTCTATTTCATACTTGTCATTGGTACTGTGTAAAAGCTGCCAGAACCTAAAATTTCAGGTACAAGGTGTGTTGCAAGAAACCAAATAACTCATAAGTACCGGTGTACGCTAGTGGTCCGCTGCTAGAGCTTCTAAACACTAGGGACGTTACACAGTAATACCAATTGGTCAGAAAATGTCAGGCCTGAGAGACTACTGAGCCAAATGGCTTAAAGTGAACCTGCGTCCAAACTATAGACGCACACTAAATTATTTAATATTCTATACAAGCATAAAAGCACGTTAACACATTCTCATTAATCTCTGTAGCTATAAGCATTTTGGAAAATTAATCTTCAAACCCTACAACAGAGGTAGTGAAATCCTAGTTTGTTTTCTCCAGTTTTTAAAAATTTTCCAGAAATGTGGTCAGCTGCCAGCCCACTAATGTAAACACACAGCAGATGTTTCTGAGATGGTAGAATCTAAAACCTGACTTTCTGGCTGGTCTCTCCTGTTATCTACTCCACAGTACATACAGCTAGACAGGTCAAGGATGGCTTGTTTTAAAGCTCTTTTAATGCTTATTAGGGATATGTAAATACTTTAAAAGAGAACTTTGGAGTAAGTATTTTTCCCCATAGTTCTCTTAAGGGTCACAGGAGGACATATACTAACATCCTCCCCCCACCCAAAGCTCAGTATACCCAGTGTCCACGCAGCTGCGTGAGTGACAGCGGGCTGTGCCTATCCAGAGGCAGAGCCAGTTGTGCCTGTCCCCTCCCCTGTATGTTCCCCCATTTAGCTCTGGAGGACCAGAGGGGGGGGGGGGGAATCCCTGCGGGGAGCCACAGCTCTCTGCAGGGACAGGATCGAGAAGTGAGCGAGCGACGCTATGTGTTCACTCCCCGATCTATTGAGCCGACTTGTGACAGTTTCATTGTCACAGGTCGGCTCGAACTATGAGGATAAGTGATTTTCACTCACCTCATAGATCTCCTTTAATGAGTGTGAGCACAGGTGCCTTTATTGAAAGTCTCCTTGTTTGCTGGGCATGTCTTCACATTGGACTGGACCAATCAATGTTTTAGCTTCAGCAGACGAGCCAACCTGTTAATTTACTGACACCCCCCCTTCCTTTTCCAGTAGGTGAAGATCCACCCAAAACAACACAGCCACTGCACATGCTTCTGTGTAACATACCCTTTTCAGCCATATCTTCATTTAACAGGGCCTGCTCATACACGATGGACAGTTGTAAATGTGAATGTAATGCAGATTGTACACTACAGGCAACAATGATAAACTAAAAGTCAATTGTTTGCAGTGGTTCTGTATTTACTGCTTTATCATGTGTTTAAAGCTAAACTCCAGGCACGCAGCTAAATTCAAAGATCAAATACATATATGGGATTTGGGAGAATCTGTAAATCTTTTGATCTAGACTCCTCTGCCCAGGGGTGTCCCCATAATGAGCCAGCACCGCTCCCCCTTCTCTCCTGGTGAATAAGGTAGAGGCGGCCCTGCCCCTGCCACATATCATGGCTGGGTCCTCAACCTCCATATGAACTCCAGCACAATAAGTTGGCTCTCTGCTCCATCTTCAGATTGTTCCTTGTCAGCACATTTACTGCTGCAGAGGCTATTGAGTTTCTTGCACTAGATTACAATGGCTATTTGCTAATACAGGACTGCATTAACGGAGTTGTCTATCCACCTGGACTTCAGTTTTAATGAACTGATTTAGCATCTGGAAGCCACTTTCAGTTTGCATAAAAATATAATACACGTAAATGTGAGAAGTGAAAAAGGATTCCCAAAGCTCAAAGTGGCCAGAAATAGGAACTTTCTAACAAACCCATGCATACATAACACCAACTTTAACACCCAGCAGTGCCAGCTGGTGTCCTGGTAAGACTTTCATCATGCTCATTCTGGACGGTAAGACTCAACTTCTTAAAGGACCCTTAAGTGACTCAAGCAAATTTTGAACACGATTTTAAACTCCAGCCATCCAGTGCAGGCTTGCAATCTCTGTTATTAAATGTCTATACTATATCTTCTCATACTATAAATTATTCAATTAACATCATTGCTGAGTTTAGCTGGTCCATTCTTCGATAGTTACATCAACTTTATTTCAGCTGACCTGAAAAATAATAAAATAATTGGACACATTAAATATAATATATATGAATATCAGAATGGCTACAGATTTTACTACCTGGCCACATACAAAATACAGTTCCTCAGTCCATGTAGCCTGAAAGGATGTATAGAAGTTTGGATAGCTACACTCTGTTTTTTTAATATGATGTTGGTTGAAGTAATTTGATTTCAATTTCAAAGTTTATTTCAATTTTTTCTTTTCTGAAGTGTACACAATTTGGAGAACGTAGCTTTCTTTTACATTTGGTTTACAATGTTGCATGCTCTGTGTTGCTACTATAGTTTGTTGGAATGATTGTCTTCGGTGTTACTGGAGTCCCCCTCCCCTAAAAGGTAGAAACACATAGGGGACCGTTCCTTTATCATTCTTAAGTGGCTCAAGCAAACTTTGAACTTGTTTTACACTCCAGCCATCCATTCTGTTTTTATTTTTACAGAAGATGCAGTTTTTAACCTTTTTTGACTCTTAAGCTGGCCATACACCGGTAGAATTTCATTTGAATGTTCTTACGGACATTTATAAAACCCGTGCCTCAAAGCATTGGCTATCATTAAAGGAGAACTATGGGGTCAGGACTTTTCCCCATAGTTCTCCTAAGAGTCACGGGAGGACACAAACTAGCGTCAGGGGAGGGGGGGAATCCTTGCAGGGAGCCGTGAGTGACAGTCACGGCTCTCTGCAGGTACAGGATCAAGAAGTGAGCAAGCGACGGTATGTTTTCGCTCACTTCCCGATCTATTGAGCCGACGTGTCACAGTTTAATTGTCACATGTCGGCTCGAACTATGAGGAGGAGTGATTTTCACTCGCCTCATAGTTCTCCTTTAACTTGACAAATTGCTAATGAGATGCCAATCTGTCGAATTCTAATGTTGATTTCAGGATGCATGGAAGTGATGTCATTTTTTTTAATGCATGTGACCTTATTAGATGTTTCAATACACTTGAATACCATTAGGCATACATGCAAAGCTTTATTTGCATTGGTCTTTCATACATTCCCATAACATATACAATAGTTTTCATTAAACAAATGATAGTTCTACTTCCCCATTCAGGTTTTCCAATCATTAAGATTTTTCCAGTATGGGAACCACATTTACTGTTAGAATTCCCATCCTTCTCCTTTTGATTTTTCAGCTCAAGATGGTAAAAAAGGAGTTTCGATTTGACTCTGTTACCTAACGGAAAATCAAAAAACATACCGAAAGGGAAATTCTACTGGTGTATAGCCAGCTTAAGACACCACATGGTGTTTTGTCGTTTCCCTGGAACAGTAGAGCTCTTCTGTCAATGTTTTTGGGGTCCCCAAAGTCATGATTTCAAAAATGCAGCAAAGTATAATATCTGTAGGCCTCAGTAGAAGGTCTTGACTCTATAGTCCTTAGGGTGTGAGAAAATTAAAATATATCTCACTTTCAAACCATGTGGCGAGTTCTCTGAAGATGGTCCTTAACGGGCTCCTCAGTATCTCTTTTCATTCTTCAGTACTTATTTATATAATATATACATAGAGATTTTTTACCTATTATCCATTGGCTGATGTAGCATTTTAATGTGTCCTGGGTTTGGAATACCAGTGAATTTGAGTAGGGGTATGTGGACTCCAACACACCTTTGTTTACATTTTTATTTATTTTCAAAAAGAATTGATGAATAATTTGATAATTGTGTCAAATTGTTGAGTTTTGTTTATATTGTACAAGAGAAGCAGCCTAACTTCTTAAACATATATATATAGATTATTTGTGCATGAGGGTTAAGGGACACCCCATTGCAGTACCATATTAACAAGCCATCAGCAGCCAGTCAGTGTCTGATGAGATTTTCTTTCTTTCTCACAGGCACTTCCTTTTTAAACCCGGAGGCACGTCCCCTTTGTTTTGTACAACATCTCCAGGATATCCCCTGACCTCCAGCACTGTGTACTCCCCGCCACCCCGGCCCCTTCCACGCAGCACTTTCTCCAGACCTGCCTTTAACCTGCAGAAGCCGTATAAATATTGCAATTGGAAATGCGCGGCACTAAGTGCTATCATTATCTCTGTCACACTGGTGATCCTCCTGGCCTATTTCATTGGTAAGTGTCCATTATTTACTTCTATTATTATTTTCCTCTAGAAGTCAAGTTTTAGACAAATTAGAGACCGCTGGTTTTGTACTGTACTATTATTTCATGGATGCAGTTTGTCTGATCAGCAGAGACCAGTGATATGGTTGAAAATGAAGACTATTACTTCTCTAGAGACCATTAACACTGATAATGCAACCTATGGATCAACTAGAGACCAATAACATCACTGAGAATCTAGCCTATCCATTAACTAGAGACCAGTAACATCACTAAGAATGTAGCCTATCCATTAACCAGAGAGATCTCTGAGCATGTATCTATTAAGTGGAGACCGGTAACATCACTGAGAATTATCCAGTAACTAGAGGCCATTGACATCACTGAGAATGCAGCCTATCCATTTACTAGAGACCGGTGACATCACTGAGAATGCAGCCTATCACTTAACTAAAGACATCACTGAGAATGTAGCCTATCCTTTAGCTAGAGACCAGTGACATCACTGAGAATATAGCCTATACATTTACTAGAGACCGGTGACATCACATAGAATGTAGCCTATCCCTTAACTAGAGACCATTGATGTTGATGTTACTTAATTGAACAGCCTTATTCTCAAAGAAAACAGTGATTTTTATAATGAAGAATTCAACCTATCAACCTATTTCTGTCTGTCCACTAGAAACCAGCGACATCACCATGAATGCATCTTTTGCATCCCTTAGAGACCAGTGGCACAACTGGGAATGCAGCATATCCATTTGCTAGAGGATAGAGAAGCCATTGAGAATGCAGCTTATCCATTCACTTAGAATCTGGTGATGTCTATTGTCTGTTCACGAATGGTATCGGCAAGAACGTAACCCTATCCATTTAGAAGATGCCGTCTATAAAATGCCATGCCCATGACTAGTAACTTCTTGCTAACATATTGATAACCTGTATCCCCTAAAGCAAAATGGCTGCTCTATTGTTTAGCAGGTACATGATCAAGTAAGTGTACGACCTTTTGCGCAGTGACCTACGATATCCGTCACGACGACTGTTAATTCTGGTCAAGTTTAACCGCTATAATCACTAACCATAATTACTCACTTCTTAAGAAGCCATGAATGATTAAAATTCTAATTAATCCGCTCAGCTCCGCACAAACATATTTAACAAAAAGAGTCTTTCTGATCTCATCAACAAGAGGGGAAAAAAAGATATTTAATTAGATTGTGATGAAAAATTGTGTTTAATTTATTGCATAATCAATTATTAATTACTGCAATAAGGAAAGTTGGCTGGGTTTACTAATTAACTCATTTAAAAATTATGAATAACCTTTCAGTGAGTAATTATTTCTTACGTCCTGCCACAAAGCGAAATAGAGACGGTTTCCTAAAGACACTGTTGTCGATATTGATATACTCCCATCCTTTTCACTTCTGCTTGAAGAGAAACAAATTGTGTTAGACAAACTCTCACATCTTGTAAGGGCATTTATCAAGATGATTGCCAAGTTCGCTTATGGCTTACCTGAATTTCTGCAGCCGTACCCGAATCACTGTCTTCAGCAGGATGCTGGCTATAGACTTAAAGGGGACCTGTTGATGTCTTTCTAATTAAAGTGGACCGGAACTCGAAAAGTTAAGATTTGTTATGTTATAGGGGGTTGTAAATAGGCAGTACCCTGAAGGCCTCATTCACACTAGAAACGGCCGGCACGTACAGATTTGTGCTGCATGTACGGCTGTATCGGGCCGCTCCCGGGAAGGACAGGTGCTGCGTGTGATTATACGCAGCAGCCTATCCTTCTCTATGGGAGTGCACGGCCGTACGCCGCCCTACGCTCACCTGACATGCACATCCATGCGGGTGTCTGTACTCATACGCTGACAGGGTGGATACGATGGGGCGTATGGCCTCATACTCCCATAGAGAAGGACAGATTGCTGCGTAAAAATCACACACAGCACCTGTCCTTCCCGGGAGCGGCCCGATATGGCCGTGCACACAGCACAGATCTGTACAGGCCGGCCGTTACCCATGTGAATGAGGGCGAAAATTTACGTTTTGCTTTGAATTCCTTCAGAAAAATTGCAGTGCGGTGAACTTCCTGTGCCTAGGCATTCCTGTGCATTTAGTCTCATAGATGTATGTTTGCAATGTGAGATCAGCTGAGGTAACTGCTGCCTGTAACTGCTAGTCTCATCAGATTTGGAGTGAGCTTTGGTGGTGTCACTACTATGCTGCTTACCCTTCTCCCTGCTGGAGAGAAAGCTGTAAACGGGGCAGTGCAAGAATCTCCCTTCATCTATAGCATTCGTTTTGGGGGTCTGTGCTTTCAGATTGTCTCCTGCTGCTTCTGCTTGATTATTCCTTTAACAGTAATAAGATTACCAGTCATCTGGGGGGGGCGGGGGGCAGCTCTGGAATGAGGAAGCAACCAAGATGGCTGCCTCCACATAATGCATACAAAATCTGTCCTGGGGAAAAGACTAGCTACAGTGACACCACAGGCAATACCGATGACTATGTTTAAAGGTGCCCATACACTGTACGATTCTCGTACGAGAATCGCGGGAAATCCCGCGATCGTAGGAGAATTGTGCAGTGTATGGAAGGCGTGCGACCGTTTCTACTGTACGGTCGCACGTCTTCCATCGAACAAGCAGGCTGGAAAACCGGCTGGGGATCGTGCGATTCCCGGCGAGTTAGTGGCCTGGTTGTTGTA